CAAAACTTATTTTGGCCCATTGTGGGCCCACTAATTGGTTTATAAAAAAAATCCTTCGATTCAATAGATTCGATACATTGAATTCTAATTTTAAGCGGAGTTTGAAATTTATAGGTTAATATTATAAGGAGTTACGGGGTGTGATGTGTGCGTGCCTCCTGATATGACTTCAGTCCCTTTTTCAGCCATCATTCGTTCTTTAACAAAGAAAAATACTTCTTTTAGCATATAGAAGATTTATTCGCTTTAAAATATTGAAAAGGAGTTAAAAAAATAATATAAATTAAAATAAATAATTAAATAAAAATAATCCGAAATTTTTCCGTTTCCTGGCTATTATTCGCTATTTCCCAAAGAAAAAATAGTTTTTTTTAATATACAGAACACTTGATTCACGTTAAAATATGTAAATAATATTGAAAAAAATAATATAAAAAAAAGAAAAAATTTGAATGTCCATCCTCGCAGGGTATCGAACCCATGGCAACCGAGTCAACAAATCTAACTTGTCACACAGCTTTACCAACTGCGCCATGCTTCACATGGCTACCCTGCGAATATTTGGCTTAAAACACCTCCTCCCGGTTAGTAAACAAAACTTATTTTAAACCATTATGGGCCCACTAATTGGTCTATAAAAAAATCCTTCGGCAAAATTGTTCGACACATTAAACTCTAATTTTGGGCGGAGTTTGAAATTTATAGGTTAATATTATAGGGAGTTACGGGGTGTGATGTGTGCGTGCCTCCTGATACGACTTTTGTCCCTTTTTCAGTCATTATTCGCTCTTTAACAAAGAAAAATAATTCTTTTCACATACAGAACACTTTATTCGCTTTAAAATATTGAAAAGAAGTTAAAAAAATAATATAAATTAAAATAAATAAATAAATAAAAATAATCCGAAATTTTTCCGTTTCCTGGCTATTATTCGCTATTTCCCAAAGAAAAAATAGTTTTTTTTAATATACAGAACACTTGATTCACGTTAAAATATCAAAAAATATATATTAAAAAACGAATATAAGAAAAAATTTGAATGTCGACCGTCGCAGAGTTTCGAACCCATTTCCCCCGGGACAACACATAAAACTTGCCACACAGCTTTACCAACTGCGCCATGCTTCACATGGCTACGCCGCGAATATTTAGCTTGAAACACCTCCTCCCGGTTAGCAAACAAAACTTATTTTGGCCCATTAAAGGCCCACTAATTGGTTTATAAAGAAATCCTTCGGTTCAATTGTTCGATACATTAAATTCTAATTTTGAGCTGAGTTTGAAATTTATAGGTTAATATTATAGGGAGTTACGGGCTGTGATGTTTGCGTGCCTCCTGATATGACTTCAGTCCCTTTTTCAGCCATCATTCGTTCTTTAACAAAGAAAAATACTTCTTTTAGCATATAGAAGACTTTATTCGCTTTAAAATATTGAAAAGAAGTTAAAAAAATAATATAAATTAAAATAAATAAGTAAATAAAAATTATCCGAAATTTATCCGTTTATTAGCTATAATTCGCTATTTCCCAAAGAAAAAATAGTTTTTTTTATATACAGAACACTTGATTCACGTTAAAATATCAAAAAATATATTAAAATATTATAAATTGTTTTTTTATGATTTAAATTATCTGGATGAAATTAACTTTCTTTTTCAGATAAATAGTATTACTCTTCTGCCATTTCAATTCAATCCTCGTAGCTAAAAAGCATGACAGGTATGACAGCCACAAAATTAAATACACAGAAGACAGTACTACCATTAACAACTTTACAGAAATTCAAATACACAATTCCAATCTTATTTTGCAATTTTAACACTTTTTATTTTTCTATACATCTGGTAACATACTTAAGTTTGATAATTAGATTTTCTTTCTTTGTTTTTTACAAATCTTTAAACTCAATAAACCAAGACTTCTTGTCAGACTTCCTGAATCTAATAGCTTTTTTAAAATTTTTGACGCTGATTCTGAAAAGGACTTACGTTATTGTCAATCACATCAGAGTTTCTTAAAAAATAGTTATTTTAATATTTTTTAATCAATGTTATCAAGAATCAAAAATCGTTCAATAAATTAAAAATTTAATGGTATGTGCCAATTTTTATTCTTTTTTTACACTCAATCGAATAGAACAAATTACAAGCTGATAAGGAGCATTTATTTTAAAATTTTGAGTAATTTTTATGTGAAGAAAATGTGTAAGAGAGAATGATTTGAAATAATACTTTTAAAACAAGTTGAGAATAATATCTTCCATATAACTTATAATACCGAGCAGAATAAAACTAATAGTTAGTTGTTACAAACACTTGTTTAAATATAAATACACATCCCATAGGATGAAATTCCAAAAAATGCATATTACTTTCAACAATAAATGTTTTTATTTGCAATTGATTTTATTCAATTCAGGATTAAAATTGCATACTATACTGACTTATTTCTAAAAAATTTAAGATTTCCGAAATTCGCAAATTTTTGAAGTAGTGAAACATAAACAGCTGCATAAAAATGCCCGTAACCTTGAAACAAATTGTCATATAAACTTGAAATCGTATTTAATTTAATTCTGCTCAGTATTCTAATAAGTAATAACAATCTACTTATAGTAAATAATTAACGTGGGTAAATTGCGAAAAAATAGCATGTAGTGTAAATAGCAGTTTTTTGATGAAACATGAAGAAGTGAGCCAGTACAGTTACTAGTTTTCAATCATCAAATATCTAGCAAACTATTGTTATATACAATTACATAAATTCTGTAGTTTATTAGGAGAGATTACTTTTTCTTTTAGGTATAAATTCAGATCTATTTTCTTGGGGAAGGCTGAGCAGTAGCTTGCTAGTCTCTTCTTCTGCGCCGCCGTGCATGTGCTATTTACAGCCTAGATCATCTCTGCAATATCAGGGAACTGTGGATAAGCCCTGTAAATATATATATATATATATAGTTTATATTGTATATATATAAACAATATAAACTTTGCAACAGATATCCAAGCGATAATCATACAGCTATAGTAGAATTTCAAAGCAAAATTGCTATTTAAAAAATATTTCAATTTTCAATGGTTTATTTATAAGAGAAATTAAGAACATTTTACTCAATTAATCAGCTTGCATACTGCTACGTTAAAACATATACATTAAAGCAAAATAAAAAGAATAGTTCTATTTGAATAAATTACAAACAATAAAATATACTGTGCATAACCTGGTGTAATGTTTCACCAGTAACGTTACCCTAAACAGTGACGAGAAATATTTCGATTGTTCTCTCTTATTGCTAAGCCTACAACGATAGCCTCTAAGAATATCCTCCAACTTAAATTATTTAAGATCAGGACGTGTCTTAAAACAAAAATAATAAAATTTAAGCTTGAAAATCGAAGCATATTTGATTAAAAGTGATAAAACTAAATTAATAAATGTCAAGCACTCTTACAGAATTTCAAATAGACTTTCGATTGTCAACACACACGCCATTTGCCGGCTCGCAGGGAACTTTGGGAAGTGAGCTAGTTAATATGAAGTGTACTTTAAACAACCTTGAAACAAGCTTAGGTATAAATAAAATGACTTCATACATCTCAATAAATATTTCACTCTCTTTAGTTGAAATAAGGTATATTTTTTATACTTCATAAATACCTCACTCTCGTTAGTTGAAATAAGGTTGATTTTTTTATACCTCATAAAATACCTCTTTTGTTACAAGTGTAAGAAAAACAACCTCTTATACCTTAAACATCCCCTTATCAGTCTGGTTGAATTGAAATGAATTTAAAACAACCTCAAAATAAGCTTAGGTATAAATAAAATGACTTCATATACCTCAATAAATACCTCACTCTCTTCAGTAGAAAAAAGGTATATTTTTTATATCTCGTAAATACCTCACTCTCGTTAGTTGAAATAAGGTTGATTTTTTTTATACCTCATAAAATACCTCTTTTGTTACAAGTGTAAGAAAAACAACCTCGTATACCTTAAAAATCACCTTATCAGTCTAGTTGATTTGAAGTGAATTTAAAACAACCTCATAATAAGCTTAGGTATAAATAAAATGACTTCATATACCTCAATAAATACCTCACTCTCTTTAGTTGAAATAAGGTAAAAAAATTTATATCTCCAAAATACCTCTTTTGTTACAAGTGTCAGAAAATCAACCTGGTATACCTTAAAAATCACCTCATCAGCCTGGTTGATTTTAACCAATCTCAAAATAAGCTGATGTATATATAAAACAACCTCGTACACCTTAATTACAACCTTTACCTTGTCTAATTTTTATTGCTCTTTTCTCAGCAACCTTAAATATACCTCAAATCATCAACCTTAATACCTCAAAAATACCTCAAATCAACTTTAAATATACCTTAAATTTTCGTAAGGGATAGCACTCGAATCAGCAGCTCTTATGTATGAATCGTGACGAAAAATTTGCATACGAGCTCTCCTTCTTCCCATAACATGCAAATAATAACTCGCAGAGCAGTAACTCGCAACAGAAATGGAGCTTTTACGTTTGCATTAAACAACTTTCCAAATGCGCCAGCACCTTTGCGTTTTGTTTTCGACCATGCATTCTTTGATAAAAATTGTTTGCTTGGGTGTGTACTATCACTTCCTAAAATTTTGCCCATCTTTTTAGAATCACCCTGTATATCGTAGTACATTCTCTTACAACTGAGAAAAGGAGGAGAGGGAAAAAGGGACGGTCAAGACATGGAACCGATCTCCTCCCCGGATGACGTATTCGAGCGTTGCGATCGCCAATAGAAATTTATGAACTCCTAATATAATATAAAAATGCCCCATAAAAATGCTGAAGTAATTAAATCTAGTAAAAATTAATTATGCTTAAGTAGTAACGATAAAAAATCCAGCCAATAGAATTTATCTATTGTTTATTAGCAGCGGCTGCTAAGCAACTTCCGTGAAAATCATGTGAAACTTTAGAGCCTTAAGGAGGATAGAAATAAACGAGCAGAAGCGTCGTAGCTAAATACATTTTATTTTGCTTACTTTTACTTTCACTATCAAAATGTTTACACCGATGTTCAAGATGGCATCGTGTATGAACTGTTTCAAACGTTGTTGTGACGGAAATGTTGGAGGGAGTTATGTTCAAATGCGAGAGCAACCCGCTGTTTTACTAGATACATCACACATGGGTAGTAGAGCTGATTACTTCCGAACCCTTTTTGCCAAAATTTCATATAACTAGTATTTTCGTATCATTCAATGTTTTTAAAAGAAAACATTCCCCTAAAAATATGTATTTGTGATAATTTCATAGAACTAAAATTTTTGTTTAACCCATTTAGTCACAGTCCAAAAGTTTCTAATAGTATACATATAACTGAAGCTAGAAAATTACTTTTGAGGAAGTATTATAGGCCTCAATAAAGAATTTTGAGGAAATTAGTGTATTTTGATCTTCGAAATAATAATCGCCAAGTCTTGGCAGTTTCCTAAGAAAAACTAGAAAAGAAAACCTCACAAAAGGAGACAAAACTTAAGGGTGTAACTCATAGTTACCCCTGAACTAACTTCTACATGTCTGTTTTATTATTATTGAAAGCTTTAAATCTATTTTGGTGGTTGTAGTTAGCGCCGAAAATCATGGTTCTGTGGCGTAACTACCACTACAAAAGTTTAACATCATTCACAAGTATATAAAGCATGCTAACTTGATTCTATCATGAGGTACCTTTTGATAGATGAAGGTTGGTATTATCGATTAACTCCACCCCCACAGTACAATGAGGACTATAATACTTTTGAGGAAGTATTATAGACCTCAATAAAGAATTTTGAGAAGATTAGTGTATTTTGATCTTCAAAGTAATAATCGCCAAGTCTTGGCAGTTTCCTAAGAAAAACTAGAAAAAAAAAACCTCACAAAAGGAGACAAAACTTAATTGTGTAACTCATAGTTACCCCTGCACTAACTTCTACGTGTTTTTTTTATTTATTATTATTGAGAGCTTTAAATCCATTTTGGTGGTTGTAGTTAGCTCCGAAAATCATGGTACATAAATATCCTTTCTAAATTGGTATTTGTACTAACATAATCACTAAGTTTTGGAGATTTCTACGCATTGGCCCACAAGAAACTTAAAAAAACATTGCAGAAGGAAATGAAATTGAAAAGTATTACTCATAATCACCCCTGCAATAACCACAGCTTACTTAATTTTTTAAAAATAAACCTTTATCAAAGATGTAAACCTATCAAAATGGCCTCAAAATTTTACCTATAATATTATATTTCAGAAGGTTTCTTACATCAAGAATGCTTTTCATCAAATTGTATCAGTAAAAAGATTTAAATAACACATCTAGATAAAGTTGAATTAGAAAACTACTGTATTAAATGTCTTAATAAATTGTTTTTTCTGATTTATATTTGCGAGCGTTTTGAGGTGAATTATTAATTGACTATGTCAACCTTCATCTATCAAAAGGTACCTCAAAATGGATTCAAGTTAACATTTCTTATATACTAGTGAATTGGTATTCAATATTTATAGTGGTAGTTACGTCACATTTTCGTGTTTCACAAATTTTCTTTCAGGAAATTATATCAGTAGCAAACTAAAAACTTTAAATGGCGTTTAAAAATTTAAAAAAAATAAATTTTTTAAAAAAAATTTCATGTGCTGCAATGAAATTATTTCTCGATAAAACCTTAAATATTTATTATTTGTGAGTGGTTATAACCTAAATTCTTTTTTCAGGTCATGAAGTGGTAATTGTTAAAAACGGACACAGAGTATGCGGTACTGGTGCTGCTTTGGCCAATGTCCCCATTGTACAGAATAAAGCTTATTTTGAAATGAAACTACAACAGTCTGGTTTGTTAAAATATCTATCTATGTTATGTTAAAAGAATTATATATATATTATGTTAACCCCTTAACGATCAGTTAATTTTCAAGAAAACACTTGTAAAAGTGCCTACTTTGCCAAATACATGTATTTGATTAGTGCTGACATCTAGTTTAAAATAAACTAACTATCTACCATTACCTTAAAAATATCCTGGTATTGCCATCTGGTGTGTAAAATGAGAAATAAAATGTTTTCTGGGCAAAAGAAATGAATTAGTTTTATTCTTATTGGCGTGTAACGGCTGAACACTCCAGCCCAGAAATTTCACAGGTACTAGAAATAGAGGGTGAAACCTCACCCTGTGATTTTCACGGGAGCGAGAAAGAAGGGGTTGAAAAAATTTTATATATATTATGTTAAAGGAATTTTAATATAATCCAAAAATAGACCTTATATCTAGCATGCTCAATAATTTACAATCTTTCCCACAAAGAAAGTAATAATATTAATCTAATTATCTCAGAAAATGAGATGATGTGTCTTTGGTAGCTTGGGGAATCGATCAGTAGATCCTGTTTTTGTAAAATTGTGAAAAAACTATTCATGTTTTAACTAACACAATTTAGTAATGTATCACTTTTAATGTGCTGTGCATTAAGTAAACTTGAACAGTTCTTAAATTTATAATATTTTATTTAAAAAAACTGCCAGGAATAAATTTTTATTCACGTAATATTCCATTAATTAATTTTATGAATAATTTTATACATAAATGGATCCATTATTTATTTACAAAAAGAAAATTCTGATTTAATATTACTGAGAATGTGCACGCAATGTTTGTAAAAGTAGATGCATTTTCTTAGAATACTACATTTGGAATCTAAGCTTAGGGATACTTAGTTTGTCTGGAACTGTCTTTCTCCCCCCCCCAAAAAAAGGGTTTATTTGATTAACAAAACAATAATGAAGGTAAGCAAATTTGTGAAGGGTCCCTTTTTATGAAAAGATATTTTGTGAAGGGTCCGTTAGTGGACCCAAATTTCTTCGAAACACACCCCTGTATATTGTCCAGAAAGATATGAAACCCCTCTTTCCAAGGTCAGTTGTGCTCTATCTATCCACCATAGTGTAATATTCTCCTTTTTGAGTATCCCGCCCTTACTTTAATAATATTCTATTATTCTCCCATGTTCCTGTATTTTTTGCACTAAACACTGGCTACACTTCAAATTTACAATGTTAATGCCTTTAAAGCTTAACAAATGTATATCTCAACAGCTTTATTTAATCTAATATTAATATTAAAAAATCTTCATTTTCCTAGAAAATCTTAAGTTTTTAATTCTGCTTTGCTTTAATAGCTAAAATGAGAGATTTCTTCATTTGTAATTTTGCTTAAATAGTTGCTTTCTTTAAGTGAAAGCCAGATGGTAAAATGGGATAAACTAAAAAAAAAAAAAAATTATTATTATTATAAGCATAGGGGAGAATCAATTCAAAGGGACCAACCATGACTACTCCTGTAAAAGCCAAACTAATATATATGTGATAAAAAAGTCTCATGTTAGGAATTGCCAGAACTTTGGCAATTCTGGAAAATAAATTTATTTGGATAACAGATCTTTAAGGTTTAAAAAGATCAAAATATGTCATTCAGTAAAAAAAATAAAAGTTGAATATAACCTTAATTTTCATACAATAATATTTTGTTTTTAGTAAAATGACATTTAATCAACTAAAGAATCTTTAGTATGATATGTCACTATTAAATCAAAAATTAAGCTGATTATGATAAGTTTAACTTTTATTTCGTGAACATGTCAAAAGTTTTTTTTGGCATGATGGTTGAAACATGATAAACTGTCAAAAACTTTCCAACCCTGCGCAATTGCGATACTTTTTTAAAGTGCTTGAATATATCTTTTGAGTGCTTAAAAGGTGCTTATTTTTTGTGGAATAATTTGGCTGCGCACCCTGAAGATAATTTATAATGTTTAAAAAAAAAACAAATTAAAATAAATTGTTTTATTGCGTTCAGAAGTTCCAGTGGGCTGTATGTAGCCTGCAGACCATATGTTGTGCTCTCATAGTTTAAACATTTCTTTTTCTAACATATTTTTTTGCAGAAGCAGTTATTTAACTCTTATGACACATATCATAAGAGTATTACTAAATGTATTGTTGTATTTGCAGGTGTGTGGGGTGTTGGTGTAGCGACGAGACACGCTGATCTGAATAAGGTTCCATTAGGAAGAGACAAGGAATCGTGGGTGTTGACCAGCGAGGGAACAATTGTACACAATGGAGATATTTTGTATAAACTATCAGAAATGCCTTTAGAAGGGGACATTGTAGTCAGTATTTCATTCTATTATTTTGTTGATAGATTTTAATCTCATTTTTTATTTATAGAAAAACAAGATGACAGTGAAATCCCCGTTCACCCAAAATGGCTTAAATTAATTCTGTACAGGTTATCCGCGAAAAGTCACAAATTTCAATATTGAACAAAATTTGTCAAGAAATGTCATGATTTTCGCAATTCTTTTTAAAAGAAAAATCGTGGAAAGTCATGAATTTAGGTTGTCTAAAAATCCAATTTTTAAAATGGAATCACCCCCTCCTCCCCAATTTCTTGGTGTTCCAAATATCTGAATTTATAACAAACTCCCCACTCAAGGCTGTATTTTATTAAAATATAAAATGTTTTTATTATGTTCTTTCAAAAAATGAAACAAAAAAAAACTCCATTTCTAGAGCTAATTATCTTTTCAACCTCTGTGATTTTGGAATTTTTATTAATATTTATTTTTTTTATTTTATTAATTTGAAATTCTAGCTGAAGCAAGCCAGTCGAATTTTTTCATTCTGATTAAAAATATATATGTATATATATATACAGGGGTCTGTCCAGGCCGAATTTACTACCGTTTAGCGTTACCTTCACATATTCAACTTTAGAAAAAACGGTACTTTTACAAATTCAGGAAAAATGGTAGTTTCACAAAAAACTTTTTCTTAAAATTTTCTTTTTTTATCCCTTAAGAAGCGATAAATCCATATTTTTACCGTATTTTTGTGTTGATTTTTTTATATAATTTTTAATTTTTCACAAATTATGTCTAAATTTTCTCAAAGTAGGTACCTCTCAGAAAATCCTAGACAGACCCCTGATATATATATATATACAGTGTAACGTCCCATATCCGGACGTCCCTTTCCCGGAAGGGTCGATTTCCCGGACACTTTTTAACAATCAAGATAAACAAACATCTCTCCATCATCCCCTTTCCTTAAAAAAAAAAAAAAAAGTCTTTTGACACATTTTCTCTTTTCTGCATCGAACCCATAAAACACCAGAAAGGGGAGATCTACCAAGACCATTGAGTGACCGTTAGTGACGCTCCTCCCTTGGAATGTAGGAAAAAGAGGGAGATTTGTTTTCAAAAGACCGCAACTGAGTCCTCTCCCCCCCCCCTCCTTTTCCATGCAGGTGGCTAGTAAAAGAGGCATTTCCTGGAACCTTTTTATTGAAAGAAGAAATACTGTGGAAAAGGGTAAACGGGGCAAGCGTTAAGGTGGAGGGAGAGTCAAAATGGAAAATTTGAATAGGTCTAAAAGGATATACGTCCTTGAGAAACAAAACATTCGTTCTTCCCCATACCATGTAATATTTAGGAGGCGGGGGGAAAAAGGAGGTAACATTCTCGCTTTAACAGATTCTTTCAGTCATAGAAGAAAAAATTAAGAGAACCCGATCAGCATGCCCCGCCTTTATGCTTGATTGATAGCCAATGATTGGAGAGAAAACAATAATTTGTTACTTCCCCACCCTCAACTTAAATGATCTCCTCTTTACACTTATTTTCTTTCACAAATAAGGAGGAAGTGAGTTTTTCTCCTCCACCTACCCACTTTAATGAATGACGGGAATTTCCCTTTATTGCTTGAATCATTCTAGTTAAAAATGGTGGATTATTATTTTCATATGTCAATTTTTTTTCGTTTTCTATATTTTAAGCAATAATATTTTTTTTCTAATATTTCATATTTTATTGATTAGATATTCTAATACTAAAACATTATTCCCCTTAAAAATGATGTTTATTTATTTTTTGCTTCTTAGATTTAGATCATTTTAAGCTTTGTTCCAGAATGACATGAATTTCCCCTTCCTGATTGAATCGTTCTAGTTCAAAATGGCGGATTAATATTTTCATAACTGTTAAATTTTTTTCGTTTTCCATATTTTCAGCAATAATATTTTTTTTCTGATATTTTATATTTGATTTAGATATTCTAATGCTAAAACATTGTTCCCCTTAAAAATAACGTTTATTTATTTTTTGCTTCTTAGATTCAGATCGTTTATTAAATCATTTTAAGCTTTGTTTACCTTGGGGGTCTATTATACGGACTTCTGGAAGTCCCACCGATTCCGGATACACGACTTTACACTGTATATATATATATATATATATACTGAATAGAACAGAAAAATCAAAGTTTTTTTCTTTTCTGATGAAGAAGAAAGGTATCTTTAGAATATAATTGTTCAGAATAAAAAGACTTGCTTTTTTATTTTTTCAGCTATTTTATTGCTTCAACTCTTTATTTACTCTCTTTTTTAAATTAAAAATCTATAAGCATGAAGATGCAGAGTATAACAGTTATACCTATAATTTCAATTAATGTTATTATAATGCTTTTATTAAATTTACTGTTGTGTTTTTGTCATAGGAAGAGTCATGAAAAATTCTTGGAATTAGTCATGGAAAATCATGAATTTGAAAATCTAAAATGTAGCTGATACCCTGTCTGTAGTTAACAAAAAATTTGCTAATTCCATTTTCCAATTTACTTCGAAATAACAAAAAATAATTTTGCTGTTCACATTTTTTTAAAAGAAAATGTAAGCACCCATTTTGCGAATCATTTGTGTATTTGAAATTAGGCATAAAATTTGTTTGAAGGGAGGTAAATATCAGGATTTGCATGAATACATCATTTATTGTGTTCATATAAATTATATACCTGAAATTTCTAAACATTTGATTTTAAATCAGTCATTTTGCTTGAAATGCTATGCCTCCATGCAAATTAAATTCTAATGATCTTTTTTATGTAAGCTCACTTTTTTAGATCAATCAAATGTTAATACATTATTAATGTTCATCTGCTGTTTTATGTATAGAGAGAAATAATTTTTTTTTTTTTTACTAACAACTGGAATAAAGGTACACACTCTACTAGTGTTCTGAGTTTCGCTTCCTAATTTATTACTAAAGCTTCATAATCATTAATATTCAGATTACCTTTCCTAGTTAATTTGCACATTGTCCAGAATGATCTGTTAAAGTGCAGAATTAAGAGTTTTCTCCCAATTTACCCAGATAATGTAACATTAGCAGTCTTCTATCGTTAAGGCACAAAAAATCCCATTCTATCAACTAATTTGTAGATTGCTTAGTTGTACTAACTTGATTCTTTAAATACAGAAAAGTAAGTCAATAGCATTATTGTAATTTCCTTAATAATATGTTAAACTGTTAGCATTTGGCATACCTGCCAAGCCTCCTGATTTTTAATGAAGATTTCTGTATTTTATGATTATCTCCTGTTTACTCATATATTCTCAAATTTCTTGAAATGTATTTTAAAATTTCTTCAAATTTGTTGAAGAAATTTTTAAATACAATTTTGGTGATAAATTATCTGCTGATGGCAAAAATACTTTACTTATTCCTCAACAGATGGTGCTATTGTCAGTACTGCAGTGTGTTGAGTGTTATTTAGTTTAAGTAATTATAAATAACGGTTTAAAAAAATCTTTAGATTAAGATTTATATCCATATTTTTTACTTCACACTAACTAAGAGCTGATATTATTTCCAATTTTGATTTAAATAATTTTGCATGATGTATCAAAACTTTACTCGTAGCCCTAAAAAAAAATGTGCTAGTAAAAAATCTCTGCTAGTTTATTTCTCTAATGTTGGCAGTTGTATGGTTTTAGTTTATAAATTGTTTGGTGAGGGATTTCCTCATCTGATGCATTGATAATTTGATTGTAGTAACTTTATATTTTAGATACCAAAGAATAAATAACATTGTATGTATTTATTTTTCGGTAAACATGTTAACGTGAACATATTTTTTGTCATATGTTAATGTAGGTGTTAAAAACGTTTCGATTGTTCCAGCAAAGATCTAATTTCTATTTAATTCTGATTTAATCGATTCGTAACAAACATTTCAGTGACAAGCACGATTCAGAACCAGTATTTGTTTAATTCTTGAAATATGTTAAGAAATCAAATATTTCCAATTTGGCTGTAAGCTTGGTTAAAAGTTAAATTTACTATGTGACATCTAATATTGCAAATGAATATGAAGTAAATTAAATAGAAAAGAATGTGCTATTTTAATTGAAGTTAAAATTTTGAAGCTTTTTCTGTTTAAAAATTTTTAGAAAAATCGATTTCTATCCATTTTTTATTTATTTGAAAGATATTCAAGTTTCGTCATGGAATTTTTTTTAAAAAAAACTTTAATATGTTATACTAGTGTATATTACAACTATTTAAAATTAATTTGTTACCTTCTACTAATTAAAATTGGAAGTTTAGGAACGCAAAACATAAAAAATGTCAATTTAAAAATGTGTTAATAAGATTTTTATTTTATTTTCCCTTATTATTAGTTATGAAAGAAATATGATTATATATTAAAAATGATTATATATTAAAAATATGAGTATATTATATAATATGATTATATATTATAGTATGATTATATATAGTATAATTATATGATTAAAATATGATTATTAAAAATATGATTTATATATTAAGTAAAGAGAATTATGCTTAAAATATATCTTCTTTAGATACTTTTTTTTTTGTCTTCCAAGAGAGCACTGAATGAAAATTGAAATTCTCAGGTTTAAAAAGCAAAGTAAAAAGTTTGTGTAAATATGTTTTAATTAGTATTTTTATCTAATTCAACTAAGAAAAATATTTACGAAGCAAGCACAAGAAAACTATGATTTTAATTAGGCAAAATCATACAAAATTGTGTAATAGAGTTCATAGAGGACAGATTAGGGATTATATCTCTTGGCTATCACCAATTTGTACCAGATTTGTTTTCGTCTAAATCCCTCTTGTTCCCAAAATAATGAATTCTCCCTATACATTACCTCTCTTTATTAAAACAATTGTAAATACTTTAAAAAGTTAGGGATTCGATTAATTAACTCATTTTTATCCTGTTTGAGTTATTATTTTTTTATAGTATTATTATAAAATATTTGAATTAAACAGATATTGAGATAATATACAAAATCAAAAACCTTAAGACATTGTGGTGAAAGCCATTTTATGTTCATTAATTGGATAACTTAACAATTCATTGTGTGTTTGATATTCTTGATATTTTTTTCTAATCATAGGGTTAATTGGTAAGTCATTCTGATCATAAGATTTGTTATTTCTTCTAATTATAAGATTAATTACAAACCAGTATTTTGTAATAGTTATGTTAAAAAAAATTTAGCGCTCTTATTTTCATTTTAAAACGATTCTCCTGAAACTCTGTAGTTTTTTGAAATTCCTCATAACTCTCATAAATTCCTGGTGAAAACAATTATTGCAGAAAAACAATTTAATTCCTTTTTTTCTTCCAAAAATATTTAGTGGTGCAGACATAAAGCAAACTGATAAATTTTTTTAAAGGATTTTTATTATCAAAATCCATTATCAAACATATCTGTTTTGAACTGTATTTTTAGTATAACATTCAGAACGCTATAATTTTAAATTTTATAAAATCATTTTATGAATTGAATTAAAATTAATTCAATTCAAAATTATAAGAATTATTCATTGGAATTATAAAAGGGTAAAACACTTTAATGGTAATATTTTGTTTTCTTGTAATTAATTGAATTCCAAGAAAACAAAATATTATTTATTAATTATGTACAATAATTATATTAATTATTACAATATATATTTATTGAATTAAATTTTAATTGTATATTTGTTGTATATTGTAAAATTAATTCAATTCAAAATTATAAAAATCATTCATTTGAATTATAGAAGGGTAAAACCCTTTAATGGCAATATTTTGTTTTCTTGTAATTAATTGAATTACAAGAAAACAAAGTATTATATATTAATTATATACAACAATTATATTATTTATTACAATATATATTTATTGAATTAATTAATTGTATATTTGTGATTTTTAGGGAGTTTCTTATGACCATGTTGAAATCAACTTTTTCATAAATGGAAAGAATGTTTTGTGTCCTGTTACTGGAGCTAAGGGCGAAGTTTTTCCCGTTTTGTATGGTTTGTATAGATTATCTTGCTGTTTAACTACATACTTCTTCCTTGTAATTTATTTGTTCTTATATAAGTGAGTAGTTTGATGTTCTCAAAGTAACTTGTACCATTGAACCTATTGTCACATCTATATGAGTGAATATGCAGTTGAAGTGCTGAGAAAATCAAGGTTTAAAATAGCATTTTACTAAATTTGAGTAAATAAGCTTGTAACATTTTGTAATTCTGCAAATTTAAAGATTTTGCTTTTTTCTCTTTTGATAATGCAACAATTGGCCGAGAAATGGAGCTGTCGTGTTGCTCGTCAGAAGCAAGAACAATAGTGATTGTATTCCAGATGTATCAGAGAATTCCAAGCTTTTAGTATCATCCCTCCAAGTCTGAAATTTAAGATCGGGTCATTTTTTCTCGAATTTTGCAGAATTCCACTGATTACAAACTTACAATCGAACTACTATGGCTTTTTTTTTATATTTCATAGGATTATGAAACCTATAAGACAAAAATTTTTTTACAGAGTTTGCAGTATAAAATTTACATTTTTAAACTTTTGCTGTATACCATTCACAAAACGTTAATGTAAATCTTATTCTTCCACCAATTTAATTCTTTTGGTTTGGTGAATTTTTGCCATTTTCAATATTTGAAATTGTGCCGGAATTCACTAATATCTGAATTTCATATGCCCACAATTTTAACATTAATTGTTGCGACATTAGTCACGCGATTTAAAATTCCAATATAGAGATTTGCATTCAATAGTTTTAAAAATCAATATTGTGATTTGTATTGAAACATTTTTAAAGTCCAATATCAGGATTCATATTCACAAGAGTTTAAAATCCAATGTCACAATTCCTATCAGCAGCTTTTTTAAAATCCTATATTATGATTTGTATTCACGCACATAGTATCAAACATTGATTTTTGTATTCAGCATAATTTGCAAGTTAGATTCGTATTTATGCTATTTAAAAATTATGCATCACGTTTCTTGTACAATGTAAGTTCTTCCCTAAATTAGTTATTTTTAATTTGTGATTGGTAGATAATTTAATTATAAGTATTAGTTAAAATAATTATATTAAACATGTATGGTACATAAATTGATATCTTAATATTTAGTTTTTACAAATAAAAATTTCAAGATTTTTCACTCTGTGTCACAATTATCCCGGCAAGAAATTGTCATATATTTTTACCTTTAAATCATTTTTATAGTTATTTTCAAATATTGCTTGTTGCCATTGATATTATGCAAATTGGATAGTAGAATAAATACTGACAGTTTTCCAGAATAAGATCAATAACAGGGAAATAAAATTTCTTTCAAAAATGTCACTGATTTTCTACCTCATTTAAGAGTTCATTCTTCTGTGATTGCATTAATTTATTTATTCTTTTCTGTTCTAAGAATAATATGAATAAAGTACTAGTAAAAAAGTACTAAAATTTATATATAATTACAAAATATGTGTATGCAGTGTTGAAAGGGTATTCCTATGTTCTTATCTTTGAAAGTAATCAGGAAAATATAGCTGGTTTCCAACTTTTCTCTGCAGGAAAGCTATTCTATTACATTTCATTAAACAAACACAGACTATTTTCTGAATAATCCTTGTGCATTTTCAGACATATATATTAATTAAAGATACTGTTTTTTTGAACATTTAAATTAAAAAAAATTATTATTTTTCTGTTTAGAAAGATTTATGTAATAATTTAGTACTTTTTGAAGCTTATAGAAATGAATTTAAAAAAATTCAAGCATTTTTTTAAAATTCAATTTACTTATTTTTGGCTACAATTGCACACGATTCATTCAGAAGCTGTGAACCTTTTAAATCTTTTCTTTTTATTTATAAATCTTCCAACTTTAAGAAATGGTTACTTCGTTATTTTGCAATTTTTATGTTACAGTTTTAATGTTTATTAAAAGAATTTGAAAGAACGTCAACTGTCAAAAAACAGATGTCTGGAGAAATTTGTTTGCTTTTTTACTAATGGGCATGCTCTTAGAAATTAAATAAAAATATCTACTTTTTTTATTTCCACTTGTTACATTAAACATTTATACAGCTTTATTGAGTAAACTTCAAGAGTTGTTGAAAAAAATTCAGTGATAAATCTTATAAATATTAATATTGTTTAGAAAGAACACCTTCAGAGTAAACTCTACATTAAATCCATTGGTTAACAGTTTCAGGCAATTCAAGATTAATTATCATTATTTTTTTTTACAAAAATTTAATTCACAGATTGTAAAATATTTAAGAAAATTTTTAACTTTAAAAAATTTATTTTGTAATGTTAAAAAGCATTGAGAAAGTAACCTTTTTTTTTCTCTTTGAACAGATCATAATATCAGGGTTACTACAGAAAAAAAATGAACAAAATAGTTGCTTTTAGTAGTCTAAAGCAAGAAAATAGCTGCCTAAAACTATGAATATAGTTAATATAGTTGCCTAAAACTATGAATATAGTTGCCTAAATAGGAACAAAAATTTATCAAAAATATGACTAAAATTTTATTGAGTGACTTAATTGTCATACACCATAATCTATTTAAAAAAAAGTTTTATAAATTTTTTTTTTAAATTTGCGCAGCAGAAAATTTGTAACTAGATAAAAGTTGAAAACAGTAAAAAGTTAAGGCTAATGTTGATAGAAAGAAAAAACAATTTATGAAAATAACGAAATTATAAATCAGAGAAAAAACAAAATGTACTTTAAATATAATGGAAAATAAAATTTTTGGCATTTTACACATAAGTGATAGTATAAGAAATCTTTTCTTTTATTCAGAGGCTCCCGTGAACCGCAAGTTGTGCAACTCAATTTATGCTATTAAAAAAAACATTGCATAGAGTACAGAAAAGTCTCCTAATGGTCTCCTTTTCCTGAAAATAGTTGCTTTTTTTTAGCCTTTTTAGGTAAATAAAGTTACCACAGTCACCTCAGGCCAAAAATAGTTGCATTTTAGTTGCCTGGGGCAACCCTATAATATGTTTTAATGATAATCTTTATTGCCTATAGTTAAAGATATATGCAGTGTTTGATGATAACAAATGATTAAAACTTGCAGAATTCAAGATTTAGACATTTTTGCAGACGTTGAGAACTTGACACCAATCAATTTACCACCAATCAAAATCATTTTCTTTTTTCTTCTTTTTTAATGTTAAATTGTTGTTGCTTAGCCATATATGGAATATTTTTTTTGCAAAGTTGTATGCTATAATGTCTAACAAAAGAATGTTATTTATTTAGTTGATGATGGTGCGATACTTGATGCAGCTTTCTCCACTTTTACTCATCAGCCTCCATCAGGATTTGACAGAATAATGGTTGAAAAATCCTTGTTGTAATTTCATCTGCAAGAAAAGGTGAACTCTTCTTTCAATATCTTTTGTATTTGCTTGATTTTTTTTTTTCATCATACAGAGTGAACTCTCACTAATAACTCCCTTTATTACGAAAATATTTTGTGGTCCCGACGAACTTGCACATGAATAAATGTCATGCTCCTCTCAATATTACAATATTTTTTGTTGCAATGAATCCCTGTAAATGGATTTTTTTCCCTAAATTTCAACCTTATTTTCTCCATTTATGATCGATTTTCAAATAATGTAAAAAAAAAAAATCTTTTTTTATCATCTTTTGCCATTTTTTCCATCTTTTCTGACAAAAGAAGACTGACTGCTGACCACCCTAAGAGCTTCCGTTCTTAGAATCGCCTCCTTTATCTTTTAAGAAGTCACAAATATAACACCCCTCTCCGATTTCATTTAATTCATATTGAATTGCTGACCATGAGTCACAAATGACCATAACCATCATGATAACACCTGAAAGAGAATATTTTCTGTAGAGGGTGAGGGAAGCCATAACCACCTAGAGTAGAAGGCCTAGGAGCTTGTTTGTGACGTCACGATCAGAAGGTAGAGAAGAGCGTTGCTGTTTTCTACCTTCAGAGGAGGCTGTGAAGATAGTCGATTCCTTATTAGTTTTATTGTGTTTCTTTCATTTTTAAAAGCTAAAAATAAGAATCCAAATTTTTTTATGATCTGAATAATTGTGTATATATAATATTTGCCTTAATATAAGAAATTTAAAATGAATCAAAAGAAGAAAAAAATCATGATAAAAAATAAGTAAATTAATGCAGTAAGAAATTTTAGATTAGTTTTTAAAGATTTTTTTTGGTTATTTTCATAAGATTTATCCAAACCTTTTTTCAAAAGATAAATTTCAGTTTTAAACTATTTTAAGAGTAATCAATCATATTAAATAAATATCAATTGATTAAAAATAAAAATATTTTCCTAAAAATTGAAAATTAGTACTTAACATTATATTCATGGAAACAAAATGTTATTGGAACAAACACTGAACGTAAAATTCTATAAAAAAAAAGCATAAAAATGTTTATCCTTTGTAAACCTTCGAAATATTTATAGCAAATGTATATAATTATTCTGAATTTTTTTTTATTTACTACAGTAAACTGACAAATTAACATCTGCCCCTCTAATTTCTTTCTATGTTCTTTTGTTTTGCATACATGCGATAAAAATGATTTAATATGACTTATTAAATAAGCTGAGTCATTACTTTGATGATATAGACTAGAACTTTATGAATGAGGTATATGAAGATTAATTTTATCATAAAGTATAAGTATGCTTTAATAATGACACAAACATATATATAGAACAAAAGCTTTATTTGAATCAGTAAGGAGAAAATATATATACTAAAGCAAATAACATTTTTAAAAATTTTATTTTAAAACATATATCATTAATTATATCATTACTTGCAATTTCAAGATTACTATACTTCTGAAGAAAACATTGTAATTGTCATATATTTTTAAATGACCAAATTTCCAAACATTTTATTTTAAAACATACCCCAGAAAGCAAACAAAAATTTGGTAAAAAAATTTTATGGATAATTCAAAGTATTTGCTTACATATTGTATTTTTCCGTGCATGTTAATGAAACAATCTTTTTCGAAAATGCTGCCCTTTGATAAAACTGTTAATATACATGTAAAAGTAACACAGTAAATTACTAATGATTGTATAGTAGTTATTAAATACTTTACCATATATGAACCATACAAATTACCTGACACTTTTGCTCCTGTAACAACATATTTTAAAAACTTGTTGATTTTGAGAAATTTAATTATCCGAAAGATGGAAATGAAAAAGGATAGTAAATTAAATAAAATTTTGAATGAAATACAAAAATGTCTTTACGTAATCTAAATTTTCCACTTATTTTTTAAATACTATTCTATATTATAAATTAAATCTGGAGTTATAAGTAAATTGCCAATTAAATTTTCCTTTAAGAAAAACACACAAATATCTCATACTTATGGAGCTTTTAACTATTTTTATGAGATAATAAGAAATATATACTAGTAAAAACAAAATTGTAGTTTCTTAAAATTGCAGTTTCTGATGAGATGTACCACAAAATATAATGTAAATAATGCAAAGTAGTTGCATTACATCACCCAATAATTGAAACTAAGAAAAGTTTTGAAAATAAACAAGAAGTTTATGAAAAAAAGACTATTATTTACAATACATTTTTAAAACTTTAAAAACATTAGATTAAATTGAAGCTTTAAATTCCTATGACCTTCCTATTAATCATTTTACAATTTATGATAATAATTAAATATTTGTTTTTAAAAGTCTTGATGTAAGACATCCTATTAATCATTTTACAATTCACAATAATAATTATATATTTATTTTTAAAAGGGGTGATGAAAAACAATCTACTTTAGGAAAGCATTAAAAGTGATAATCCTTGTTAATTTAAACATATAATAAATCTTTATAAATTTAAACAAATATTCTTAGTTAAAAGTTAAATACAAATTTTAAATATTTTTTACATAAATGAATCACACCACAATTGCTGCAGTTTTGTGTCTTGGGGGAAATGAAATACCTTGTGATTATCATCATAGTTCTCTCGACACAAGAGAACACAACAAGCATAAACCATGCTTGATGCCTGAAAAATAAACAGACATTAAGACTCATGGCTGAAACTAAAATATTAATTTATCAACACTTACCTTAATTTGTCATTGGAATAATGAAAATAAAAAAAAATTGTTTTACTTCCCAAAAAATATATTAAAAAATATTTTTCTTAGTTATCTGAATCTTAAATAAATTTTTTAAAGTTTTGGTTAATATAAATAAAGTTCTGCTAAATGTAGTCAACCATCTCTAAAATAAGTGTTCAATTAAGTAATTTATTCACTAAAATTTTCTTTATTTAAAATACTTAAAAGTATTTTAACAGCACATTAGAAGAACTATAAGTTAACAATGACACCAAACCTTGAAATAGAATTAGAAACTAATAATTTTATCCCCGAACATTGGTACATTTAGAAATTCTTCAATATTAAAATTCTTCTTAGGCATATTTAAATTTAAAATTCTAATAGCTAAATATAAACAAATGTAACTTCTATCAGCATTCTTCAGATAAACACATATGGTATTTTTTTACTAAAATTTGTTTAAATTTAATTTTATTAGAGTTAAAAATAACTACTTTTCATTACCAATACAGTTTAAATTTCTTTGTAATTCTTGTCTAAAGTAGTTTTAAAATATTGGTAAACTTATACCAACTGCTAATTCTACATTTCAAATTATTTAGTATTTTTACTGAGAAAGATATATACAAATCTCTAATCTAACATACATAATGTACAAAACATTACAAACATCTTATTAGTATTTCAAGAAATTGCATATTTTATTCTTACAAACACTAAAAAGTTAAGCAGTAAGACATATTGGATTGTAACTAATATATTTTAATATGCTTATATAAATGTATAATTCAAGCATATTTTAACCGATTTATTGAAATGTATATTTTATAAACAATTCTAGGGCTATTTAAAATCTTGAGCAGTCTATTTAAATCGCTTAGATTAATTTAAGATGCTTTAGCTGATGAAGTATGAATATAAAATACAATCGAATGCTTTTGTAATTTTATATCTGAATACTAAATTATGTTATTTTATGATTCAAATGGAAATAGATCAGATAACACATATAAATACATTAGAGACTCAAATAACTTCTCACAACATAACACCAATGCAAGTTAAATTATATACATGCTTTCAAGAGAGTAGGGAGAACAAGGGAAAACCTGGATAATACAGGGAATTTAAAAATCACCTAAAATAGCAGGGAAAGCGTGGGGAATTATGAGTTTTTCCTTACTAAGTAGGAAAATGCAGGGAATTTTATTTTTTATTTTCGTCTTTTCAAAAGTACTGACCTCACAAAGCGTATTCTATGGGATATTTAAGGATGATTTATCTTCTAAACTAAACTATTTCATTGACTATACTATTATTTGTTTTAAGTATGCTCAGGGGAAAAACAAGGAATTTTTTTTTCAAATTTGAGGGGCAACCCTGTTTTCTAATTGGATATTATAAATAGCAACCGTTTGACGGTTAGGAAAATGGGCAGTTTTCGTTTACTTAATTCGCGCAGTATTACGAGTAAACAGAAGTCGAAGGTGGCAGCTGTTTTCCTTCGCCGTTCTTCTAAAAAAGTCACCCTTCTCTTGCGATGGCGTAGATAGCTCGCCTCACGTGTTTTAAAAATTTCTTAAAGTATTTGTAGTACATAAATAACAGTTTTTACATAAGTTAAAATAATTAATACAGGATAATTATTAAATAGTAAATATTAAATTGAAAGGACTCAATAAATTAAACCAATGTAAAACTTTATGAAGAATTTAAATGCAGTAATTACCAAAAAATATTTTTGTACACACTGTGAAAAATTTGCAGTAATTACTTAAAAATCTTAAACAATCATCATCATAATTAGCTAACTTTTGCTTTTGAGCCATTTTACTTTACAAACGCCCTAAAAAACGTGCCAAAACATTCATAAAAAGAATAAGGTAAAAAAAATTCCCCCTCCATTATGAAAAGAAATTCATGGAACCCCTACTGCCATCTGTAGAGAGTAAAACTAACTGCATTTCGCTAATAGGATTTGTTTGTAACATAATCAATGTAGAATAATAATGGTGAATGAGCTCAGTTGTCAACGCCCGCAGCTTGTCAATACGCGTTGGGAAAAAATGTCACTACGCTAGTAGTGCTTGTTTCTAACCATTTCGGTCGAAATCTTGCTTCCGAGCGGAACTCGTTTGCGCACTTTATGCAGGGTTTGTTATTCCTTNAACCATTTCGGTCGAAATCTTGCTTCCGAGCGGAACTCGTTTGCGCGCTTTATGCAGGGTTTGTTATTCCCTATACTCCTTGGAAATAAAAAGGTCCCCAAGGAGTACTTGGAACTACTTAGATTTCCAAATTAGTCCTTAGAAACTCCTTAGATTATTGCGTTGCATAGATAAACTTACTAGGTCCGCTGTTGAATTTGCTGTCCATGCAGGGAAACAAAATTATATGACTTAGCTGTCAAAATCTAATAGTTTAAGAAAAACTTTAAAGGAAAAAAAATTGATTTGCAAGAGTTAGAAGAAAAAAATAGCAGCAAATAATTTTAATTTTACATGTTACAAGCAAACTTAATTAATAATTTACTGTGATTTTTTTTTGTATAAAATGCCTTAGATTTTCTTATGTATTCAAATGTAAAAATATAAGATTAGTAGGTTTTTATGTTAATCTTTAACATGTGTTCTTTAACAGGATTAATTAAAATAATTGAGACTGTCAAATGTATTTATGTGTAAAAGTGATAACTTTATTTATTTTTCTTGGTGAAGTTTGACGAAGTCAAAATTTATTTCAAAAGGGCTGAAAACAAAATATGCAAACTATACATTTTTGTGAGTTCCTTATAATAACTGCTTTTTTAATTTAAAGAAGAAAAACTGCCTAATTATCTTTTACACAAAGTTTTTGGATAAGTCCTTAAAATTTTGGACTCCTTGGATACTCATACATATGGATTTCTTCTTCTGATCTCTGTATGAACCCTGTTTTCTAAATGATATTTTCTATGCTAGGCATTGTATATACAATGTTGATATTTCCTTGTATTTCCAATAATGTATTGTGTTTTTTTTTCTTTGCAGCTATTTTCATATCCATCATCACAATAGTTTTTCCAGTCTGGCCTCTCTTTTGTGGGATTAACCCCTTCATTCCTGTTTTGTTTTTCTTTTTTTAAATGATCTTTTTCGATATTTAAATTTTGTTGAGGATTCACACACTAACACAAATCTGTTAAACTAGTTTACGGAAATTGTTGCTTTAATACAATAACATTGTAATTTTTTCTTTTTTAAATTATAATAACAGACATCCAGTAAATGAACAGAAACAAAGAAAATTATTTTACCTATGCTCTGATTTTATTAAAAATATTGCAATTCTAGTTTTCAAAAAAAGAATATCGCCAACTTGTTTCTGCTGCATATAAATATGTATTTTCGTATGACGATTACAGTGTTCCATTCATTTCAATATCAATCCTATTCTGTTTGAGGCATTTTTCATTTCTTCTGCCATCATTTATTTAAAAATAATTTTTTATCTGGTCTACGAAAAAGAATCTACATCAATAATATAAAGGGTAATAAGTTAAGTCAATGAGACGAATTACATTTAATGATCTTCATCTTAACGATGTCTTCAACCTGTGTAATATTTACTGTGTTTTGCAATCACAATCTTAATATATATTTTTACAGTCCTTTTCAGGAATGAAGTGAAAAAATATACACCATAGGAGTAAAAAAAAAAATTGAGATTTAAGTTAGGTACAAAACAAAACCACTATTTAATATTATTCACTGTTATGAGAGACATCATTAGAAATATTAAAACTTGTTTAATTGCCTGCGGAAATTAGGAGAATTTGAAAAGTGATTATTCTAAACACTATTAAGTTTCAGCTGACAATCAAACGAATTTCGACGTTCTTACACGGACATTCCTCAATAGTGATTTGTTACAATTTTTAGCTTGAGTATTTATTAACCACCCTAATTTGTATGTTTTTGTGAAGGAGTTGAAAAATATGTTAAGGGTGGTGATTACTTAACATTCTATCGTTTGTTCTTACTCTATTATTGTGGCAGTCATTTTTTGATGCAGCAGTTTTTAATTTACTTTTTACTAGTTACAATCAAACGAATTTCGACGTTCTTACATGGACATTCCTCAATAGTGATTTGTTACATTTTTTAGCTTGAGTATTTATTAACAACCCTAATTTGTATGTTTTTCTGAAGGAGTTTAAAAATATGTTAAGGGTGGTGATTACTTAACATTTTGTTGTTTGTTCTTACTCTATTATTGTGGCAGTCATTTTTTGATATAGCAGTTTTTAATTTACTTTTTACTAGTTTAGTAACTCAAGCTCTTGTAACATTCAGAGAATCTTTATTGGAATCAAAATATCACTAATACTCTAAAAACATCAGATTTTTTTAAAAATCATTAAACTAGTTTTAGTTTTGACCAGGTCTGAAGGGGTTAGCTTTTTTCCCCCCTTATAATTAGTTTTAAAATTTTAATGGATGCTAATGAATACTGTGCATTTCCAAATGTAAGCCGAGAGTACACTCTTTCTTTGTTAATTCACACAAAATCCACATATCTAACCCGATGTAACACCTATCTTTGTGGGTCACTTTCAACTCCCCCCTTTTTGTTTTGCTCAACCAAAACCACTTTAGTTTATTTGTTTAATAATAACTTGTTAAAAGTCCCGCCGATTCTTTCCTCTCTACTTTTGTTTCCCCCCTCTTTTCTTCTCAAGCCTTTCAACTTACCAATCGCAGAGATGATTGCGCTCCGGAAAAAATCCGGATTTTTCGCTAATTGCGATCCAGAAGTTTCGAGAAGTTATCCATCACATTTGTGTGTAAATATTCTTGTATATTTTATTTAAAAATGTTAGAACTAGAATTTATACATCTCTTTCATTTGTAAATATTTTCATGGCTGCCAACTCTACTGGATTTTGCCTGTTTCTCCTGGTTTAATTAAAATTCTCCTAGTTTTTGTACATTTTAGAAAATTCCCTGAAATTGAGTCTTAAAAAAATTCCTTTTGAAATAGAATTTTTCTACTGATTATTGCTTGCTTGCTTGCTATAATGCTTAAATAAGTATTACTAATACATAATGAAGCAAACTTCATTTATGGAAATCAGTTTAAAACGCTTTTTGTTCTGTTTGTGCTATGGAAAAAATCCAGATTTTTTTTTAATTGCGATCCAGAAGTTTCGAGAAATTATTTATCACATTTGTGTGTAAATATTTTTGTATATTTTATTTAAAAATGTTAGAACTAGAATTTATGCATCTCTTTCATTTGTAAATATTTTCATGGCTGCCAACTCTACTGGATTTCACCTGTTTCTCCTGGTTTAATTAAAATTCTCCTGGTTTTTGTTTGTACATTTTAGAAAATTCCCTGAAATTGAGTCTTAAAAAAATTCCTTTTGAAATAGAATTTTTCTACAGATTATTGCTTGCTTGCTAGAATGCTTAAATAAGTATTACTAATACATAATGAAGTGAACTTCATTTATTGAAATCAGTTTAAAACGCTTTTTATTCTAAAATGTTCTGTTTATTCTTATTCAGAACTCTCTTTTTAAATGAATTGAAAAAATCTTTCAACTATATTTGATGAATTATGTCTATTACTATTCTAAATTATGAGTAAACATAATACATAGCATTTCAAGTATGTTTAATTTTAATCATAACTGGAAAATAATGCAAGTTTTCTATTTTGATGACTAAAAAAATTCCATATGTCTAAAATATTTGGTATATTGTTGCAACAATTATATTATTTTGTAAAATCTACTGGATATTTTGCTATCCATGTTGGCAGTTATGCATTTTTTCTGGTAGAATAATAGATGTGATTAGAGATAAAAGTAAACTTATACATAATTATTAATTTAAATGATGCTGCATATAATTTATTTAGAATTTCGTGCTTTGAAAATATCAATGATTTAAATTTATAAAGACATTAGTTCTTTGAAATGCGTCTTTAATGATTTTACTCCAGAAATTTTCAGGATTTTTGAGTTGAACTTACCATCACCTCTGCATTCGGAATGACTGCCGCCGGCAGTTCGAATTTGCAGAAAGAAAAGTAAATCAAATACTAAAAGCGAGATCTATTTTAGTTTAAAGCTAGCGAATGTAACTTTTTATGTTTGTTTTAATTGTAAGATGTTTTATGAGAAAAAATATGTGTTAAAAGAAAATCTCATTAAAAAAATCCTTTCCTGTTGTCATTTTATGTTGTTAGTTATTTTTATTTTTTTTATTTAATCTTATTTTATGTTTTGTGTGTACATTTTGTGATAGTATTTAGCGGTTTATCACTAATCAACGGCAAGAATTTCTGTTGGTGATGTTTGCGTGGTATTTCGCAAACTTAACAGATCTGACTATAAACTGACCCTCTACTTAAGCTTTTGAAAATCTCCAAAAATTCTCTGGCTATATTTGGAAATGTACAGCATGTGAAAAAAAAAACTTTCATTCTGTGATAAGAGTTTGCGGAAAATTCCTTTTAGTATTGTCTTGTGAGTTTATACTCAAATTATTTACTATGTACAGATTGTTGCATTGTTTATTATTACGAAATTTTATTTTAATAATCTTTAATAGTAATCAAAATTTACCTTTGCCGGTTCACACAAAATTTTACAATGAATTGAATTTTTTGAAATGAAAAAAATCTGTTATTTACTACAATCATTGATTTTTATTGTAAACTGTAAAACAATGTAGAAAAGATTTCTGACCGAATTTATTTTTCAATTCAAAATTATTCTAGTTTTAACAACTGGAAGTAAGAGATGTATCTAAATTTGTATCTCATGTTTGAAGAGTTTAATTATGATTTTTGTTAAACCTTTTTTTAAAAAAATATTAATAATAATATAAAAAATATTAATGTAATATAAAAATATTAATATAATATAATATAATATTAATATAATTTGATTCTAATTTTCTAATTTCTGATTCTAATTTTGAGAACTGAAAGTGATTTTTGTTATACCTTTTTCTTTTTAAATATATTTTTTGTTATAGAATTTTGTTAATAACAATTACTATACTTTACTTATGATGCATCATTTTGTCCTCTGTTACTGTAACTTTTTGCTGTCCACTTTTTGTTTATTATGAATAAGCCAACATGTTATGCACTTTACATTTGAGGGGTTGAGTGACTGAAAGTTTTAAATGACATTTTCTTCAAATTGGCAATATTTATCAACCCCATGACTCATTTAAACTGTTTACATTATCGCAGGGTATCTGCACACCTGGAAAGTCATGAACTTCAGTATTGAACAAAATTTGTCATGAAATATCATGATTTAAACTATTTTTTGAAAAAAAAATCATGAAAAGTCATGGATTTAGGTCGCCGAGAAATATAATTTTTAATCCCCACTCAAAGTCATATTTGATCAAAATATGAAATATTTTTATCGTGTTCTTTAAAAATTGTGGTGTTCTTTCAGAAAATGGAAGAAAAACATTTCTAGAGCAAATTATCTTTTAAACTTCTGTAATTTCAGAATTTTTGTTATTATTTATTTTTTTCAATTTATCAATTTAAAATTCTAGCTGAAGCAAGCCAGTCATTGGCGAATTTTTTTATTCCGAAATGAGAACAGAAAAATATAGACTGTTTTGTTCCTTTTCGATGAACAAGAAAAGTATCTTTAGAATGTAATTCTGCAGGAAAAATAAAGATTTGCTTTTGTATTTTTTTCAGCTATTTTATTGCTTAAACTCTTTCTCTACTCTGTTTCTCAAATTTAAATTCTATAAATATGAAGATGCAGAGTATAGCAGTTTTGGTTATACCTATCATTTCAATTAATGTTATATTAATGCTTTTTTAAATTTAATGTTGTGTTTTTGTTGGAGAAAATAGTAACTTTCTTAAATCATGAAAAATTCTTGGAATCAATCATGAAAAGTCATGAATTTGAAAATCTAAAATGTAGCAGATACACTGTATGGGGTTGACTCTCTCTTAAATTTTAATTTAATGCCAAAACGGAGGCTTTCTAAAGGTGACTCTTTGATGCCAAGTGCACTTTTTTCCATTCTAAAGAAGTTAAGGAACATCACCGCCCATTTAGATCTTGACTTAATAAGTAAATTTTGTTCAGCTAAATTAGACTACAATAAGATTTTCACTCGAAAACAAATCAAAATGTCACTTCGAACCTTTCTTCAAGTATTATTTTTAAAAAAAAATGTTGGCATTGTTTGGTACTGAATCTAAATCTATGTATCGGAATTCCCTTTAATATCATTTCTGTTCTTTATATTTACTATTTCAAGACACTATTTTGATATTTAGGTTGCCATTTTGTATCATAAATAAACACTGCTGCATTTTTAAACAATATTTTGTCACCTTTGTGGTATTTTTATGTTCTAAATTGCATTTATAATTTGTTCAACTATTCTAATCAATGCCATATTAATCTTGGATATTTACTATCCAAGATTGGATATTTACTATAAGATTGCATTCTTAATCTTGGATAGTAAATAAGTGGCCATTTTATAGACTAAGTACTTTTTTTTCCTAAATTTTATTTATAAAACTGCCAATGAACTGCTAATTTTTTCATTGAATTTCAGTTTTTTTTTCTTTGTTTTTTTCAGCATTTTAACCACCATCAAAAAGTTGCCAATTGG